TTTGCATAATTGCAACTTATTAACTTCTAACCTTTTGTTAGGCTAAAAATTCTTTAAACACCTCGTTACAAATTTCAGCGAGTGTTACTATCTCAGTTCCCTCCAACCCAACTTTTGGAAGAAACAATGGGTGCAACTCGAGTTGGCCTGAGTTAGAATTTTATCATGCTTCGGGCTCAAGCTTTAGGCCGAGCCAATTGAAATTTTGACAAAAAACCCAATTCAAGCCTACCCAAGCACCCAGACGAAGGTATCCAGATTGTCATCCACCCCACTGAACCTACCCTAATTCTCCTACCTCAACATGAAGATTTTGTGTTCTTGCACTGTTTTGCATAGTTGCTATCCAGATTGTCATCCTCCCCACTCAACCTACCCTAATGTTTAGGGAAGATCAATGCCAAAACTTCATAATGATATTTGACTTAATCCTTCCAGCTAAGTGGTGATTATCAATCAGCTAACGATATTCTTTAGTGGTTACTTGTCGTTTGGTACTTCATTTGGCAGTAGACCTGTTGATGGGCAGGGTAGCTTGACTGGCAGGCCCGGTCTGATCCGTCTTAAATCGGGTTTGGACAAAATTTTAAGCCCGTGAGCTCGGGTTTCTTAAATAAGCTTGGGCCCGAATCCGGCCCAATAATATTAAGGGAAAATTCCTTATCAGTATCCTGTATTTTGGCTCGAGTGACAATTTGTTTCCCGAACTTTAAAATGTGACAATCCAGTACCCAAACTTTCAAAATTTGACAATCCAGTATCCGAACTTTCAAAATGTAGCAATCCAGTACCTGTCGTTAACCAGTCCGTTAATCAGCCATTAAGTGACATTTGAAAAGTCAAAAACGTCCTTAGAATGCCATCTAATTGTCTTTATCAACAATCCAAACATTGACAAAAAACTGAACAGTCCCAAATCGTAGCCTCTTCTATTCAAAAAAAGTTGGTGACTATTTAGAAGAATCTAGAATTTGGGACTATTTATTGTCAATGTTGACTTTTCAAATGTCACTTAATGGCTGATTAACAGACTGGTTAACGGTAGGTACTGGATTGTCACATTTGAAAGTTTGAGTACTGGTTTGTCACATTTTGAAAGTTTGGATACTAAATTGTCGCATTTTAAAGTCTAGGGACCAAATTGTCACTCGAGCCAAAGTACAAAGTACTAATCAGGAATTTTCCCTAATATTAAATATATAACATAAATATAATATATATGTTAATAATATATATTATATAATAATAAAATTAATAGCAACAAAAGTATTGCATATATTAAATGTACAAAATATTATATAATATATAATAAATTATTAATAATATATAATTAATATGTTATAAAATACCTATCAAAGTCAGGCTTTGGGCTTTATATAGGGTCGACCTCGAGCTCATGATCTAGGCCCAATGGTTGGGCCAGGCTCGAGCTCGGGCCTAGTAATTCTCTGTTTATATTGAGGAAAAGCCTGGCCCGAACTTGGCCAGGCCAGGCCCATGAACAGGTCTATTTGGCAGGCAAGCAATGAAAAATTTTTAGGAATTTGGATATAAGTGCTACTTGGATTCTGAACAGAGTGCACAAAGTTAATTCTTAGCACAAGGAGGGTCTATTTTCGTAACCTAATTTGATGTTGGATGATTTGTGTGGTTTGAACTCTCTGGATCCAAAAACTAATTTTTCAGTGTGGACTTTTGTTCTAATACAAGAGGTGCTCCTGGTTTCTGGAGCCTCTTGAATCAGAACTGGGAGCAATTTTTTAGGGTTTTTATTTTGTGTGGGTGTAGAATTCGAAATCTATCACGATTTTTCCAGACCCCAAGTTGTGATTTATGAAACTATAAAATCATTCCCTGTCATCTTAGATCATGTTTGGTTCAATTCTCATTCTTTCTCATTTTTACCAAGATGAAATTCTAAAATGGAAAAGAATGGGTAAATGTAGGCAGAATGAGAAAATATTGTTATGAACCAAATACTTTTTTTCCTAAAAATGAATTCTTTTCAGACTGACAAGTGTCCTATGTTACTCGTTTTCATTCTTCAAAAAAAAATTGTGCCAATATTCACAAACCGCTAACCTAGGTCTCCAATAGTCAATATTTACCAATTGGCATAGTGTTTTGTAAAAGTACTTTCGTAAAAGTGCTTTTATAAAAGTACATTCATAAAAATGATTTTATAAAAGTATTTTCCTAAAAGTGCTTTTGTACTTTCGCAAAAGTGCTTTCATAAAAGTACTTTTGTAAAAGTGCTTTCATAAAAGTACTTTCGTAAAAGTACTTTCACAAAAGTTCTTTTATAAAAGTGCTTTTGTAAAAGTACTTCCATAAGTGCTTTTATAAAAGTACTTCTATAAAAGTGGTCATAAAAGTACTTCCATAAAGTGTTTTCATAAAATTACTTTTGTAAAAGTGATTTTATAAAAGTGCTTTCATAAAAGTACTTTTGTAAAAGTGCTTTCCTAAAAGTACTTCCACAAAAGTGCTTTTGTAAAAGTACTTCCGTAAAAGTGCTTTTATAAAGTATTTTTGTAAGTGTTTTTATAAAAGTACTTTCATAAAAGTGTGTTCATAAAAGTACTTTCGTAAAAGTGCTTTAGTAATGTACTTTTATAAAAGTGCTTCCATAAAAGTGCTTTTGTAAAAATACTTCTATAGAAGTGCTTTTATAAAAGTACTTTTGTAAAAATGCTTTCATAAAAGTACTTCCATAAAAGTGCTTTTATAAAAGTACTTGTGTAAGTTATAAAAGTACTTTCGAAAGTGTTTTCATAAAAGCACTTTTGTAAAAGTGCTTTAGTAATGTACTTTTACAAAAGTGGTTTTGTAAAAGTGCTTTTATAAAAGTGCTTCCGTAGAAGTGCTTTTATAAAAGTGCTTTTATAAAAGTACTTTCGTAAATGTGTTTATAAAAGTACTTTTGTGAAAGTGCTTTCATAAAAGTACTTCCATAAAAGTGTTTTTATAAAAGTGCTTTTATAAAAGTACTCCCGTAAGTGCTTTTATAAAAGTACTTTTGTGAGTGTTTTTATAAAARTACTTTTGTAAGTGTTTCATAAAAGTACTTTCGTAAAATTGCTTTAGTAATGTACTTTTATAAAAGTGCTTCCGCAAAAGTGCTTTCATAAAAGTACTTCCGTAAAAGTGCTTTTATAAAAATGCTTTTGTAAAAGTATTTCCATAAAAGTGCTTTCATAAAAGTACTTCCATAAAAGTGCTTTCATAAAAGTACTTTCGTAAAAGTGCTTTTATAAAAGTACTTTCATAAAAGTACTTCCAACAAAGTGCTTTTGTAAAAGTGCTTTCATAAAAGTACTTTTGTAAAAGTGTTTTCGCAAAAGTAAACATCTATGGCAATAGTTTTATAGGTAGAGTTTCCTCATAGTGAAATGAGCAAGATGGGGCATGATTATTTTTCATGGTGCAAGATGGTCAATTTTTGTGCTATGGGACTGATTTTTCATTTTAAAAAGAATGTGGCCATGGGTAAGAATTTTGTAACCAAACACTCTAATGTTATTCATTTTTGCCCATTCTTGCCTAGAATGAGCAAGAATTAAGATAATGAGGCCCAGAACAATGAACCAAACATGRCCTTAGTAGCCTTTTGGACAGGTTCTATCATTTGTAAAACAAATGCAATATATACTGTTTGTTTATAAATTAAGGGTTCACACCAAACCTGCTCATATTTTAGCACCGTTTGCTAGAATGTAGATACACATTTCTTTCTTGTGATGTCATTGTCAAACATTTACTAGGCATGTTCCAATGGTTCACACCTTACATTAAGTCATTAACCACCAAATAACCAGAGAGCATGTGTTTCTTTYGTGTATATACCTTATTTATAGCTATATATGAAACTTAAATGCAATGTTATTAATGCATTTTTAGGTACACGGGAAGAAACGCTTTGAAGAATACTATGAATTGATTGGTTATAAGTTTTTTCGAGTATCATAGTCAAACCCTTAGGCTCCGTTTGGTTTGTGGGATGGGGATGAAAAAAAGGGGATATTTCAAAAATATTCCTTTTTTCTTATTTGTTTTGAGGGAAATAGAGGGATGGGATGAGAAAAACGTGGGATACAGGATCCCAAAATCGTGTAATCGGGGTTGCACTAAAACAATGCAACCCCGATGGGAAAACTCGAGAGCGACAACGAACAAGTGGCGACAGCGGCAACGAACTAGCGACGGTCCCTTCCCCTTGGTCTCGTTACCATCGAACCAGACACTATTCATTGTCTTCCCAATTCGAACAGAGGAGGCGGCGGTGGCAAGAGAACCAGTGCGAGGGGTAGCGGCGATCTGCTACCATCGAACAGAGGAGGCGGCGGTCTGTTACCATCGAACCAGACCCTATTCTCTATCTCTTCCTCCATCTTCCTCTTCTCTCTTCTCCCTCACCTTCTTCTTCTTCCTCTTCTCTCTTTCTCTGATCGTCGCTGCAACTCTCGGCAACGACGATTTGCTTTCTCAGCATTCCTATCTCTCTCCCATTCCCTCATTTTCCCTCTCTCTCTCTCTCTCTCTCTCTCTCTCTCTTGGTGTGCTTTTTGTTTCATTGTTAGGCCACTGCAACTCCTCTCTTTGTTGAAGATAGCAGGGGAGTTACAGTCATGAAGCTCTCTTCTTCATCTTACATGAATCCAGCAAAGAATCAGGTCAAGAAAGTACTTTTCTTACTATTTTCCCATATATAAAACCAAACAATGAAAAGTTAAATTTTTACACCTTCCCATCCCATCCCATATTTTCCCATCCCACCCAAATCTTCCCACAAACCAAACGGAGCCTTAATTTAGCAATCGTATCAATCATCATGATTTGAACCTTGGCCAGGGATCTCTCATCACGGACCTAGCAATTCACTCCCTCGTACGATTATTCACATTTGTAAATTGAAATGAATTGCTTGTGTTGGGATCATTGCTCGGTAAAACTATACTATATTGGACTGAAAAGGAGTAGAAATCTAGAGCAACCAAAAATCAAGTACAATTCGTCCTCCTACGAACCCAGATAGCCAAGAGGCCCAAGAACAACATTGGGTAATTTTGAAATATGGTTTTTACATGATATAGATCTCAATAATACAGGATTTGTCATTAACATGATGCATTTGAGGCTCATAGAACCCCATTGAGTCCCAAAGAAATTAAAAAAATAATAATAAAAGAAAAAGAACAAGGCGAACCAAAGGCCTTAAAAACATGTATATTTCTGAACTCAAAACTCCAATGGGTTATCACTAATTCACTACAAAAGCTTCAGTCCACCAGTTACATTATCAACGGAAACGGCAGGTCCTGCAAAAATGCACAAGTTATTAAATACATTATGTCAGATTTTGAAACTGGTTAGTTTAGTTTCAGCTTACGAAGTTAATAAAATAAAATAAAAAAAGCAACATCCACAGAATAATAATGTTTTTCATTTTGATCGTTAATACACCTGAACTATGAAAACAATATAGACAAAAAATCGATGCCATTTTTTTTCATCAGTAACAAAATCAAAGGAATTTATACGGATCATATTAACACAATTGGGAGAACATAAAATGGGTTATATACCAAGTTACCAACTTTTGTTAGAAAAATGTTGGTTAATGAGAAAACATGACTATGTTGAGCTTATTGGCTTAAATGAAGACCAAATCCAATAGAATATAACAAAAAGAAGGCAACTTACCAAGAATAGCCATCACTGTCCGTGAATCTGACAGACAGAAGAGATGAAACAATTAATTGAACTACTAGGAAAACTGGTCAAAACATAAACACAACCAGGATTCATAAACTGGATAAAACTATTAAAATTTAGAGGCACTATACTAAACATTTGTTAGATACTTATGCTAGGTGTGGCCTGTACTTCCAAAACTAGGAGTGCAAGTTGGGTATCCAATTTGAAGAAATTACACTGCATTGGGGGGAGGGGGGTCATTCAAATTTTAACAAAATCCCAACCTGTGCCTGCCCAAGCTGGACCCCTATCCAAACTGGCTTTATTAGCTATTGCAGAGACCATTTTGGGCTCTCTACGGCAAGGGCACACCTGCACAAAGTGTCAGATATTGAATTTTCAACGATGACACAACACAGTATGCTTCTACTCTCTCTTTCCTCATATTTCCTGCGTAAAAGTCGGGTATCACTTGGCTCTCAAAACATTAGACATTTATTTCCTATTGGCCTCTAGTCTTCCAGCAATTGTTTGGAAGAATTGACATCTTGCATTTCCAAACAGCCCTTAATGTTAACAGTCAAACTGCCAATGCTACATCACACTTCAGAAAAAACTTGATCAATATATAACTCAGGAGAGAAGCCTGTACAAATCTCTTACTTGGTGCAATCTGAGTTCTCCCTGCATCAATTGTAATATGGGTTGGTAATTTGAGTGACTTAGCCCTTCCCTGTCACAATAAACAAACTATGAATTGGGAACAAGATATGGAAAGAATAAAATTGCATTAAAAAATTTTCTTCTTTGGTAAATAAAAGGTGCATGAAGTATACTTAAGCCATGCACTTTCACTTGCCACCACATATTACTTCTTAGTTCTTATTATGTCACGTGACCAAGGTGCCACCCACAAATGAACAATAACCTGAAGTATCTTGTTCATGACTGATCTACCCCCAATTGACATTAATATACACTTCAATGCAAAGATGTCCATGGTTAGTGAAAGCAACACTGAATTTGGAAGAAATTAACAGAAAAATATAAAAGAACAAGAGAGAGTACAAAACAATGCAATGGAGAGAAAGAGAGAGAGAGAGACCGCCGATCAGAGGAGAAAGAACAATCTCCCAGTTGACCAGATCTCTATTTATATTATCATATCCAGCTCTATTTAAAATAAAATATTAGACATTTAGGCCCCTTAAACTATAATAGCAAAAAGACAATACCCATGTCCCAAGTAAACAAATGACTATAAATAAAATCATAAAGAAACAAGAGGCAATTAGGTCATTCCTAATATTCTCCCTCAAGCTGGAGTTTATATATCATATAATCCCAGTTTGCTTATGATGAAATCTATCCTCAACCTCCATGGTGTTTCAATTAATAAATTAGTAACTTGATCCTCTGACTAGATAAAGGGGGTATCCACATCACCACCTTGAACCTTCTCATGACAACATGACAATCAACCTCAATGACTAACAGGGGTGCAAGTTGGGTACACCATTTGAAGATTTTACACTGCATCGGACCCAGGTTTTCAAACCGGTCCATTCAAATTTTGACAAAATCCCAACCTGAGCATGCTTAAGTTGCACCCCTAATGACTAAACGTGTTATGTCCACATCAACAAAGGTGCAATATGCTGAGGTAGATCATCTATCATCCACTGATCCAACCCAATCAACATAAGTGTAGGCTTCAATCTTGAGATGTTCATGGTTTGCAAATAGTAATCCCTTACCTGGGCAACCCTTCAGGTAACATAGAATCCTATCAACTGTCTACATATAAGTGGTTCTACACATGCATAAACTGGCTCACAACACTAACGGCATAGGAAATGCAAGTCTTGTCAACCACAAATAGAGAAGTTGGCCCACCAATCTATGATACCAATTCTTGTCAGGAAGCACCCCACCATCATAGCACGTAACTTATGGTTAGGATCATTAGGGGTTTTGTTAGGACTCCTGGAGCAGAACAGCCAAAGTTGGTTAGCCAGATTTACAAGAGAAGGCCATGTCAGCTTCCTAGAATAACAACCCAGCCACTTGCAACAGCTGAGGACAACTTGCTTGCAACTAGCACAACAGCTGTTAACAGAAGGAAAGATTAAAGGTTGTAACTAACTTAAGTCGTAAACAGTATAAATAGCAAGATATGAGCAACAAAGAGCCCCGTGTTAGGTAGGTTCCTACCATTTTGCTATCAAAGTTACCATGCCTAATACCAGGGCAATGCCGGTGAACACTCAGATAGATCAAATGGAGGTGGAAATCCATCGGATATTGGCAAACATCAAGGAAATGAAAGAGGCTTCACCGCACTACTCAATAGGTTAGATCGGATGTCAAGAAATAACAAGGCCAAGAGGAGCAGAGCAATGAGAATAGCCACCGAAGTGGATCTGGGGCAGTTTGAGCGAGAAGAAAGGGTTTTCCCATTCTCTAGTGGCAACCCTACACTTTGGATCCTTCAAGCGGAATGCTATTTTGATTACAATGAGATTTCAGGACAAGATAGAGTTGCCCTGGCTTCTATGCATTTGGAAGGGGAAGCAATCTTGTGGTACCAATGGTATTGAGGGACACCCTTGGCAATCTTGGGTGGATTTCACGAATGTCTTGTGCATTTGATTTGGATCGCTGGGCTTTGAGGACTACGATGAAAGCTTGGCGAAATTACGACAAATGGGGTCTGTTAAAGACTATCTAGTCAAATTTGAGAAACTGGCTGTGCGAGTCGAAGGCTAGCCATAAAAGGCAATGGCGGAAAGCTTCGCCAGCAGCTTGAGCGAAGAACTGTGGTTGGAAGTAAGGGCGATGCCACCTACTTCTGTCCTAGACGCAACAATCTTGGCAAGATTATATGAAGACAAGATGGTGTGAGCTAGAAGAATAAACCATCCATGGGGACCAGTGATCAGACTGACAATGCCAAATGAGGAAATATTAGGAAAACCCGACAAGTCCGGCCCAAGCCCAATCATCCCCTTCAAACAATTATCGTGGRCCGAAATGCAAGCCCTAGAGTCAAGGGTCTCTTCTACAACTGTGAAGAAAATTTTGGTCCTGGCCACCGTTGCAAGGTCACAACAAGTGGTTCTTCTCCAAACAAAAACCGAGGATTCCGGAAACTAGTTGCAGTGAATCAAATCTAGGCCAAGGATGGGAACTATGCCCAATGGAAACACCAGAAATATCATTAGAAGCTCACACCGAGCTTGCATCTCCACAGACAATGAGAGTAGCTGGATTAATCAGAGGGCACCACACGCCAATCCTCATAGACAAAGGTAGTTCCCTTATTTTCATAATTCAAGTCCTAATGGATAAGTTATTTCTTGTTTAGCCAACAACAACCTTTATGGCGCATGTAGCCAATGGTAATAACCTATCTTGTCACAGTATATGCACAAGCTTGTCACTTAAAGTTCATGGGCACCAATTTTCAGTGAACTTATACCCTATTAATCTCAATGGAGCAAAAATTGTATTAGGTATCCAAATGGTTGAGGCACTTAGGCCCAGTGGTCTATGATTAGGCTCACCTCACAATCGACTTTAGGGGACCCAGATCTTTCACTTCAAATTGAGAGAGGCAAGGAATTCCTTCAACATTTGTATTTTTGTGCTCCAGTTTCCTGTAATGATGATATCATCCGCATACACTATCAACACAGCCACTTGTTCCTAACATCTCTTCAAAAAGAGAGTGTGATCAGACCAACATTGTTTGAACCCTACTTGCTGAACCGCCATATGAAATTTATTGAACCATGCTCTAGGAGATTGTTTTAAACCATAGAGGGACGGACTTTCTTAGCTTGCACACCTTATTTTCACTTCCTTTGGCACAAAAACCTGGGGATTGAACCATGTACACCTCCTCCTCCAGATAAAAAAGCATTCTTTATATCCAATTAATGCAATTCCTAGTCAAGGTTTGCAGCCAATGATAAAAGAACTCGAATTGAGTTCATCTTAGCTACTGGAGCAAGCGCCTCATCATATTCAACAACATAGACTTGAGTGTATCCTTTAGCTACCAGCCTTGCTTTGTACCTATCAACTGTCTCGTCTGCCTTGTGTTTTACTATAAACACCCACTTACACCCCACTAGGTCTTTCCCTTTTGGAAGATCCACCAACTCCCTTGTTTGATTCTTATAGAGGGCATTAATCTCCTCCGCCATAGCATCTGTCAAAGGAAGTTGGCAGTCCTGAGCATGTCGTGTGGCGCAAGGAGAATGCCACAGTCATGTCTTGGTTGCTGGCCTCCATGACTCCTCGGGTGGCTAGAACTGTTCA